GCATTATTTATAAGGGTGTGAAAATCTCTCCCTAGCAGACGCGTTTTAAAACTTTGAGAGGAAACCCAAAAGATAAAGCTCCAAGAAGACAATATCTGCTAGTGGTGGGCTTAGGCCATTACAGTGAGGTTGACGGCGATACGTAATGTATAGATCTAAAACTTCTCCCTCGATGAGTTGAGTGAAAGATAAACATAAAGGCTGGCTGGCGAAGTGAGTAAACGGAAGGGAAAGCAGGTGTGTTGGTTAAAGGAGTGTAGGAAAGGAGGCAGGAGTCTCCTTTGGAGGAACAATGACTTCCCTCCTAGGGGCTCACTCAGTTTCTTCAAGTCACTGTTATTTGCTAAGACCCACACCAACAATGGCACACTATGACTGACCCACCAGCCAAAGGGGATCTGTCTCTTAACCCATCACAGCAACAAAAAGGTCCAAACAGTTTTCCAAAGGACAATTATTTCAGATACCCCCAAAAACAAAACTTTGTACACTACAATTGCCCCAACATAATTGCTCCTTCTACCATCATTTTCTGCAAAACTCAGAATATACAAGCTCCTTCTTCCACTTTCCTTTTTTTGTTGTTTATTTCCTTTTCCAGCTCCATAATTTTCACTTAAGAACGTTTCGAATCGACTAAATCAGGTTGAATATTTCCCGGATCATGCTTAGCCTACCAACAGTGTTAGCTTGGCTGTTTCAATCCGAGTAAAACAGTTTCTATTTTATGGGATGTGATGTTTTTCAACGTACAAGAAAAGGGTTGATTCATACAGGGAAGATGCTGTTTAATAAAGAAGAAGGGGCCATGATCACTTCCTAATGTATCAACTCCGACCATGACAATACAGCCACAGTGTGTGGGAATATTGTGCAATGCATGGATATAAATGTTAGGGCTGAGAGTTAATCAATTCATTATCATTCGAGTTTATGCCTCTTGTTGCCTAAATGCCAAGAATCATATAATAAAAATGCATGTTTGATGTCTAGTCGATGAGACCGCAGTCGACAGCAAAAAAATTAAAGACCAGACCGACCTGTAACTTGTAGGAAGCTATTGCCTGCTGGAGCAAGCTGCAAGTCTCAGACAATTGCAGCTGGAAGGAACCATCCAAGGCGGCAAAATCATGATATTGCTTACGGGACTTCATTCTTGCTGCGCCCAAATCATGCATCCATCCATATGGCCTCCCTATAGAGTCTAAACGAACCAAATAAGTCTATCGAATTTAAGAGTAACTTCAACGAACAAACAGATTAAGGAGAAGACAATCTGTTAGCAGGATAGTAAAAAGTACAATCTGGGAGACGATTCGACTCGTATTTTACCGACTATTCAGAGGCTAAAATTTAGCAAATTTTAGAGGTTCAAATGACTGGTGTGATTGAACTCTATGAAATGTAAAATTTATACATACAGCTTTCAGATGAATGTACGTTCTGATAAAAATATCAGTGCTTTATTTACAATGGATGAGCAGAAGGACTCTCTAACGTCTTAATGTTCGAGACCACGACTACCCAAGTCAGCTGCAGCTTTGGCAGCTCGATTCAGGGCATCAGAAATGAAAAGAGCTCCCCTGGAGAAGTAGCTACTCCTGACCACCGTATCAGCAGCAGCAGCAGCTGTTCTTCCAGTGGCTGATATAGCAGATTTGGTTGTCTGCAATACGTGGTACTTCTCATCCATGGTTTTAGCCGCTTCATACCCTGCACCAATCATGTCAGTAAGGCCAATTCTGTTACTCAAATCAGCTACCTTAGCTGCTGCGGTTGCTGAGACCTGATGAGATTCATCAAATGCTTTGGCTTTTGTAAATGTATCTTTGCCCAGCACGTAACCCATGGCCAGCATGGTTTTGACTACGTCCTGGGCCATGGACACTGCGGTTCCAGTGGTGGAAGCAAACTGACTTCTTTGAGCCGACTATACGATAAAGAACTCGTTAATTAATCAAAGTTCGACCATGGGAACTAAACATATGCAAATTTCAAGAGTTGGAAAAAATTAATGAATATCATTTGTCGATTTTCGACACTTACAGCAGGAGTACCGTCTTCTTCATGGTAACCGGAAGGCCTGCTCCAGAAATCAAATTCTTCATCAAAATGTCCCCACCGTGTTATGCACACTCGTTGATCTACAATTGTTGCACCCTGCAATGAACAGATATTGGACTCTACAACATGTTCATTAACCAAATCACCAGAAACGATTGTTGATTGAAAACCAAATAGTAGACAGAACATAAACAGAATGATCAAACTCAAACAGTTGAAGCTCACAAACTGCAAGTACCCATATAGAAATTCCTTAATCATTTGATGCCAAGAGGAAATTCATTTGATATAGTAAAAATTCCATCAAGTTCATTCCTAAAAACAATGCAAATTTGCAGCAAAAGAGAAGATAGTGAGATAAATGCGTTCTGCAGATTCAACAGTAAGTATTACAAATTATGAATTCTAAATGCTAACAAAGTTGTTATCACTAATCACAGATTCAACAACAACAACAATGTTGCATGTGCCTAACCATTTAAATGCCATCTCTATACAATAATAAACGGGTCCGTTTTTCTTTTCAATAGAACGCATAGTTACATCCATGTCGAACATTCGAGCGCAGTAGCAAATTCCTATTAAGGCTGCTTCAAATTTGATGAAGCCAAAACCACACTTCTACAGTTCAATGATGATGAAGCAATTTATATTATTTGAAAGCCATTTTCGATGTTATTTTGATTCTAATCATTGTTGTCGATTTAACGAAGGGGCGTTACTTGAGGAAGCGAAAGGACCCTTCACTATTTAGTAACTGCCTAAGTCCACAGCTAGCAGATATTATCCACTTTTGCTCATTACATATTGCCATCAGCTTCACGGTTTTAAAACGCGTTTACTAGGGAAAGGTTTCCACATTCTTATAAGGAATGTTTTGTTCTCCTCTCCAACCGATGTGGGATCTCACAATCCACCTCCCTTGGGGGCCAGCGTTCTCGCTGGTACACCGCTTGGTGTATGTGTCTGATACCATTTGTAACAGCCTAAGACCACCGCTAGCAAATATTGTCCGTTTTAACCAGTTGCGTATCGCCGTCAGGCTCATGATTTTATAACGCATCTACTAGGGAGAGGTTTCCACATTCTTATAAGCTCGGGTATGTAGACGGTGTCCAGCTCTAATAAACGCATTTTAAAACCATGAGGCTGACGACAATACGTAATAGGCCAAAGTGGACAATATCTGCTACCAGTGGTCTTAAGCTGTTACCCAATTGTGCTACAGTTTTTCCAATTGAGAAGGAAAAAAAATGCCCCTCCTTTTCTTTTTGCAATCAAAACTGCCACATCAAACACATTGGTCAATTCAGCATTTATAAATTGAATACTCACACTCAGCAGGCAAGCAGTCTCTTGAGAGTAAGCATCTTTGAATGACACATATGCAGTGCAGGCATCTTCACCAGACCTGTTTTCATGAAACCACAAATCCTAACACCAAGCGCTTTTGAAAGAACAAAAAACTAAAACAAAATCAAACAAAAAGGCCATAATTTTAAGGTATGATTTACTAAACAGCCTCTTCAAACTTGATCACATTTAGAAAGATCTATTGATGTCTTTTAAATATATGGATCATGGAATTACGGAGTCAAGGACATGAAATCAAACTCCCAATTGGAAGAAATGAATACCTCACAATCTCAACGAGCTCGATTGCGCCAGAGAAAGCGAAGAAATCGAGGATATCCTTCTCCGTTGCTTTAGGAGACAAGCCCGTCACTTCAACCGTATACCCACCAGGATTCATGTTTTCGCTGCGACAGTAAATTGATTCGTCTCTTGTCCCGTTGAAATGTAACTTGCGGAGGAGACAATCGAATTGACTAGCAGAAAATGAAGTTTCAGAAGAAAAAGAGGAACTGAAGAACTTTAGAGCTCAGTGGGCTGAGCTGGGCTGCCCACGCTTCAGATTGAACAATGGGCCTTCTTTGATTCATAATTTAAGCCTGCAAACATCTGGGTCTACGAACTTTAGACCGAATTACTTCATGGGTAAGAGGCTCCTCTTTTCAATGGATCACATTCAAAAGCGATTCACTCAGAAACATATGAAGTATGTCCGCATTCCTCTTCTTTGGATTCCATTTATGGAAACAACCATTAAAATTTTATGAAAGGTTATGCAGAAAAGACAGCAGTCGGTCGACAAGACTTTGGGGCTTCGATGTTTCTTCTGTTTGTCAGTGGGGATCTTCTGCTACCTCCTGCTAACTTTCACAACTCACGAGAGCTTCTTCCACTCTGACGCTTTGACTTGGGTATCCTCTGTTCTTTTCTCTTTTTCAAGCATAAAGCAGCCTCGTTTATACATTGTTAACTACGTTTAGCTTGAGTTTTCCTCAGTATTTTATCCTAAATCCTCATGTTCTTCATACTTTTAACAAAACCCCATGATTAATGGTGGGTAGAAAAAGGGTCGTTCAGAACTGTCACTCCCAATAATTCCTCAGAAAGAAACACCAGAGAATATGAACTGTTTAGGAAAACAGAGGAGATTTGAAAAGGGTATGGTCTTAAATGCTACACAAACTGGCACGTGCAGGAATTCAACATTTTTGTTTTGAAGGGAAAAAGAAAACAACTTTCAGAACTCTCCTCTTCTTCTGTGGTGTCGCAGTCAAATGGGGTTTTGTGGGCACCAAAACAGAGGACTTTAAAGCTCATTCAGACTTTCTTTATAAAGCAACAACACTAAGGAAGGAAAGATAACGATAATAACCATGGATAAGATAGAACAAAACCGGCGGCCTTTTGAAAAATTTATAAACAAAATTGATCTCAGAGCATAGTGATGGTAATTCATATGATTTAAAACGAACTCTAGACAAGCCCTTCTATTATACGACTTTATAACAACATATATATATATATATAATTGTGTGTAGGCATATTCCATATTATCTGAGCTGATGAAGACCAAAATCTATAGAAGAAGAAGAAGAAGAATGATAGAGATAATAGATCATTCATTATTACATGAGTAAGCTTCTAATAATGGCAGCCTGAGCACTTTCAGGGTCAGTTGATAGCAACAGCTCTGATAATCGGTCGCTTAAGTCGCTCACCTCTCTTTGTAAGCTTCTTATGTAGTTGCAGGTCTCTTGAAGAACCTTTGAAGCTGATACCTATAAAACTCCACAAATTAAGAAGAATGAGATTGTGGGTGTAACCCATTTCTGAAATAAACATGAACAGAGTGTAGAAAAACAGAGATACCCTGGAGGAGGAACGGGCATTGCGAATCTCAGGGATGAGTTGCTGTAACTTGGAGATCAAATCAGCAATTTGTTCATCAGAAATGTTGCTAGAAGGCACAGATGAGCGCCTAGAACGCGAGCTTCTGGACGACATTATGGTCTAAACTTAAGAAGAAGGCTTGTGGGCTGCTACCTGCTATGCTAAATCTATACTGATGTTAGCAAGGCAGCAGCTGTCAGAAGAAGAGGGATGATCTTGATGGACAAAGAGATATGGGATCCATGAAAAGAAACTCGAAGTGTTTATAGAATTAGTAATCCACTATTTGTTGGGGTCGAACAGGACAACTTGACCACAGTCCTAGTACTGCTTATTATAAGCTTGAAATAAGAAGGAAAGCAGCATGCGGCCATGGCCATACCGTCCCTGCTCGATCTGTCTCCAAACTGGGGCTAAAAATTTCAACTTGGTTGCGCATGTAAGCACACATATGGTGTTCTATGGCTACTAAGAGTAAGCGGGCCTCCTAATGTCAGCTTCAGAGCACTGCACACACCCATGTTATGTAATTAAGTTTGGATACAGGATTTGATATGGTACACGAAAATAATTAAGCTCAATGTTGGAACTGTATGTAAATGAAAGAGATAAGGGGTTGATGAAGAGTCTAATTGTGAGGATGAGGATGATCAGCGATGCATTGTCCACGCCATTGGATTCGTGGCCTGAGGAAGAGAAGGGAAGAGGGGCGTTGGTTAAGGCTTGTCTGCACAACTTTGTTACCAAAGGACATTGCCTGTCATAAGCCGTTTACGGGTGTTCCCCAACTTTTTTGGAGCATCTCTAATAATTTTAAATTATTTAATCATCCTTACATGGTTGTTGCTTGTAGAGTGGAAGATTCAAATCTTTGACATGTTAATCGAGGTTGAATGTATGAGATCCCACATGGTTGGAGGGGGAATGAAATGAGTGTGGAAACCTCTCCCTAAAAGACGCGTTTTAAAACTGTGAGACTGACGGCGATACGTAATGGGCCAAAGCGGATATATCTGCTAGCGGTGAGCTTAGACTGTTACAAATGATATTAGAGCAAGGACGCTGGGTGTCATCGTCCAAGGAGTGGTTGTGCTCCCAAGTAAGTCATCGAGGACGGTGACTAGTTTAAGTGGGGGAGAACATCGCAACCTAACTATGAAAAGAGTATATTGTGACCCTCATGTTGTGACAAGAGAAGAGGCGACCCACAAGTGGCATCCATTTGGCCACGTGAGGGCCTAGACGAGTGCCATGATGCGACCAAGGAGGATGATGCATCATTTAACACACCACACAGAATGGGCATTGAAGAAAAGTTGAAGCATAAGGGGAACGAGTAAGCAATACTAGGTGGTACGGGTGTGCAGGTACTGCGCCCCAGCCCGAGTGTCGGAGGTTGAATTATACAACTGTTATTTGGACGGTATCTGTAAATGACATGGCATGGGCATGAGAGGGCCAATGCCTCATAGAACCTAAATGAATGGATGTTCGGGATGTCTCAATGAGATGAGCAACACGTGGGCCGTTCTCAATGGCATGACCGAATGAAATGTGATGACCGACGACACTCCGAGACTTGGGATGGCGTCAAGACATATGTGCCATGTCAATTGGGAACCAAGATAACAAGATGAGATGCGATGTTGCAATGAGAGACTTTGTTCCTGTGTAGAGGTAAAGTTGAGTCAAATGACTTGGCCTAGTGTAGAGGCAAGTCGGTTGTGTTGCAGACAATTGAACATGCACTCGTAGGCAATGTGTGTGGTCAAACAAGCTTGGATTCCGCACAACCAATGTTCAGTTGACGAAGACAAACCTCGTCTAATATCTAAAAAAGCCACAAAACCAAACAAAAAACGTAATTGAAGCTTGAGTTCCCCTTAAGGTTGGTCGTGAGCATGTCAAGATCACAACGCTGAACAGTTAAAAAAGTACAACCATGACATTGGGCCCCCAAGGGAGGGTGGATTGTGAAATCCCACGTCGGTTGGAGAAGATAACGAAACGAGTATGAAAATCTCTCCCTAAAAGACACATTTTAAAACCGTGAGACTAACGGCAATGCATAACGGGTCAAAACAGTCAATATCTGCTAGCGGTGGGGTTGAGCTGTACATAACATTTTATATTATGTTGTGGTATGCTCGTATTAGATATAAATAATTACCTAAGGTATTCCAACATAGATTTGACGTGTGACCTTGTTTGATATAAACTTTTATAAATGAAAGGTAGCAGGTATTCAACTTGCATTTACTCAAAGTTTTGAACTCCATTATCAGCCAAACATATCTTCCTAGATTGAAAGATCAAGATCTAGAAGAACACAACAAAAAAAAGGGTAAACCTTTTGATGAACACAAAAAGGGTTGGCTAGGCTTGTCATATATATATATATATTAAGCTTAAAAAGAAGTTGTTTGACACGTCTGATAGATGATTAGTGCATAAATACAGTAAGAGTCAGCATTTTTCCTGATTTTATGCCGAGAAAAGTAAGCAATCATATGCATATAATAAAGGCTTTCCTAAGACGATGGGAATTGATGGGCAGTAAGTTGATGGTAAAGAAGAAAATGATGTGATAGAAAGGCATCAACAATCCATGTAAGGAGTATGTGGGGAGCACAGTGTTGAAGTTCATAGCCATGTGCTCGTGTTCCCCTCTGCCCTTTGCTTAACACAACTCAACCTCTAAAGACTCTTAAGGTTTCTTCAAACACATCGCCCCCACCTCCCATCTCAATCGCTGTCTTACAGCTCCATCCTGTTGCTATCACTATGTGTAGCCCAAACTCTGCCACTGCCATGCCTCTCTATACATGTATATCTCAGTCTTGCATGGGCTGGCCTAATTTAGCCACAAATCCACTAGCTTTTCTGGCACTGGGCCACCTATATGTGTATCAGTTTTATTGGACTTGTTCTTCTTTCCCACCCTCAGCTTACCATCTATTTTATTTTGCATCTAGCTTGGTCCACCAGCAAACAGTGTGTCCTAAGATTTGGATTTGAAAAATCTGATAACTCATGTGGGGGTTTCATTTCATGTTTTAATCTTGAGATGTGATGTCCGAGCATCAGAAGGACACATGGATGAACCAACACTACATATGAATAAGATGAGATCATAAAACTACTGGGGAGAGGTTTCCATATCCTTATAAGGAATGTTTTGGTCTTGTGAGATCTCACATTGGTTGAGAGGAGAATGAAACATTTTTCATAAGGGTGTGGAAACCACTCCGTAGCAGATGTGTTTTAAAAACCTTGAGAGGAAACCCGAAAGGAAAAACCAAAACAGGACAATATCGGCTAGTAATGGGCTTGGGCTATTACAGTTTCCCTCTCCAACCGATGTGAGATCTCACAATCCACCTCCCTTAGAGGCCCAACATTCTCGCTAGCACACCACCCTTTATCTGGCTCTGATATCATCCGTAACAGTTTAAGCCCACCGCTAGTAAATATTGTCTTTTTTAGCTTCCCCATTTGAGTTTTCCCTCAAGGTCTTTAAAACGTGTCTGTTAGAAAAAGATTTCCACACTTTTTTCGTTCACCTCTTCAACCGACGTGGGATCTTAGTCATTTATTAGATTAGGGAGAATAGAGGGGGAGATTCCACCCATTACAGAAACGTGGTGTCTGAGTCATTTACCAAATGAAAGAAGACTAAGAGGGATAAAGGGTATTCTGTTCTGCTACTTGCACTCAATATTAACACTAAAATCTCTCCATCATTATCTATCTCGGAATCCCACTATTGCATTATTCCATGAACACCCACCAAAAAGTTGTGTACAAAGCTCCACCTCGTTTCCTTTGTAGAGTGGACGGTCGAACGTTTTTCATTTCAAACCTCCATAATGGTACGATGTCGTCCACTCTTCTTACTTATAATAAACTCATTATCATTCCCTTAATGAACCAACGCGAAACTACCCCTAACCATCCTCAAAAATCTTCTCCTCAAACAAAGTACACCATATAACTTCCCCTAAGACTTATGGAGCCCTCAAACAGCTTCCCCTTAATCGAGGCTCGACTTCTTCTCTAGAGCCCTCAAACAAATAAAGTACATCATTTGTTTAACACTTGAGTCACTATTGACTACATCTTCCAGGCTCACAACTTCTTTATTCGACAACTAAAGATTCTATTGACGAGTCAAGTTAAGGGCATGACTCAGATACTATGTTAGGAATCACGAACCTCCACAATGGTATGATATTGTCCACTTTGAGCATAACCTCCCGTAACTTTACTTTTAGTTTCCCAAAAGACGTGAGACTCCCTCCCAACAATCCTCAATAGCAAATTTAAAGTGAATTATTCTACAACAATGGTGCACGATTCACATTCATTTCTCAATCAAAATCAAAGTATTCGTGAGGAACCTAATTCCATTACAAAGATTCTTTGCTTCTTCTTCACTTTAATCAAAAACCGAAAAACTGGGTTTGGTTGGCGATGGCGTTGTGAGAATCTGATCGATACCTAAAGACGAAAACGTGGGTGTGTTATCTTTGAATGAAGGTGTAAGAATGGTGTGGGATGGTCAAGATTTAGGCGCAGAATATTATAGTAAAGCAAGTCCATGAATGAGAAAGGCATTCAAAGTTGGCCTTCTTTCTTTCGTTCTTTTGCGGCTCTAAAAAGTTGCTTCCGTTTTCAAACAAACAATTCACCACTTTTTCTCCTCCATCCATCACTCTTTCAATACCAGACAAAATCAACAAACCCTTATCAATATAATCTACTTTTAACATATGAACAAACTATCTACAACCGTATGATGTTATCCACATTGAGCATAAGCTTTCATGGCTTTGCTTTAGGCTTCCCAAAAAGACTTCACTCCAATAAAAAGAGTATTCCTTGATCATAAACTCATGACTATTCCTTAAATTAGCAGACATGTGACTTGCATCATCCAACACAAATTATAATATATAATATAATAAATCAAATCTGTTAGATGAATACGACCTTCCACAATAGTACGATATTGTCCACATTTAGTGTATTATAAACTCATGATCATTCTCTAAATTATCTAAATTAGCCGATATAGGACTTTCATCTATACTTTTTCTAATATATTTGTATATATATATACACAGATTTTGTTTTAAAAATACTAACTTTTAATACTATTTAAAAAAATAATCTTAGACTTTGTTTTATTACTCGTATAAAAATTTATATTATTGAGACGTCTAAAAATGGGTATATTTTTAGATAAAGTGAAAAGTTTTAGGGTATTTTTTTATTAATTTAATCAATTATTTGTAATTAGTTACGTATAAATAAAAGAAAGAATAAAGATTAAAGTGCATGCACCTTGGAAAGAAGGAAACAAAATTTGGGTAATTTGAATGAATTCTGAGCTTTTCTTTTAGTTTTTCATTCTTGTGGTATACGCAATTTATATGAGACTTTATCTTATCTTAAATTTTTTATATAAAATATTAAAATTTCTTTAATGTTATAACTATTTTAGATATCCTATCAACGGGGGCGAGAACCGAAAAACCATGTTCATCTCTGCCTCATATTTTAATATTATTTTTACGAATTTTTCAATTTATTTTTGTAGAGATTTAGATGGAGATTTATTACGAAGAATTCTAATATAATTTCTAAAAAAATTCAATTTTAATATTATTATATGAAACAGAGACGAGGAAGATAATCTCCACCATCGATCCCACTTAGTTCATAGACAGCAATCTATTCTCGTTTCCTC